TCTCAAACATTCATGGCTAAGTGATTTCGCCAAGATGCAGATTGTCATTCCAGCCCGAGGGTCTGCATTTCTCCTAAATTCCCAGGTGATGCCAACGTGGCTGGTCCACTGACAGCATTCTCAGTGACATAGGTCCTCACACACTCTGACAGTGTTTCTGGGTATCTTCCTCACGATGCTCCTAAAAATTCTTGCCACCACAGACTCCTCCAATTGGTGGCTTGGTGATTTGATGACTAGCAAGATCACAGTAAATTTCCCCTTTCGACACTCACCCAAAGTTCTATTAAAACGTCTGTTCAAACTGCAATACTGTGTGGCAAAGGCTATCAGCTATTTGGGAAAGTACTGTGTCCGTGATAAGCTGTAGGTGTGGCTGGTTATGAAATTGCTTTTCACCACTGAGAATGCTTTCTGGGCCAGGGAAACACTTCCTAACTCTAAGATCAAACAGCAGAATTCCAATTTGAGAAATACAAGGAGGGATTTCTTGAAACACTGAAGTGAATCATATAACTGCAAGTGCTTCTTCTCAGCTCACTGTATACAGAAACAGAATGACAAATCTTTCTGCCCAATGCAGGGTATTTAATGGCAAATCAAGGCTGTCCACTCCATCAATCTGAATTCAGTGGCTGTGAGCTAGCTCAGCTGTGAATGAGACGAAAAAACTCAAGCAGAGGGACCAGCAGTTAGCGTAATGGCTATGTCGCTGGATTCCCACGTAGTCGACCGCGGTTCACGTCCCCGACCCGGTGGCTTAAAACTCACACCGGGCGCCTGTGTGTGCGTGCCCAAGATCCCAAGAGGAGAATGGAGGAGAAGGGATTGCGGCATGGCCATCCCCCCCTGGGGGGTGATTTCTCGCTTTCTGTCTCTCTGTCTCTGTCTGGTGAGCACACGTGCCCTATAGCAAAAACTTCTAAAAAAAAAAAAAACCTCAAGCAGAGAGGGGTGAGGATAAATAACCAGGGGTGCTTTTGATGCCTGAATGGTCTGACGTTAGACTCACAAACTGACTTCAAATTGTGAATAGCCCGGAAAATAAAAATACCCTAACTCAAGCTGGTGGTAATAGTAACGTTAGACTAAACAATCATCAGTGATGATAAGGATTAGTTAGGATGGCACTTTCATGCTCTTCCCACTGCCCAGCGACTCTCAAGCTTTACTCCATAGAAGAATGAAGACAGAAGTTTCAAACACCCTACCCCATGACTGCCATTCTCAGTCACACCCCCACATCATTTAAATCATCATCCCTGGAGGTGGGGCCCAGGTATCCTTAATTTTTAAAGCTCCCATGATTCCCATGTGCAGCCAAGTTGGAGAAGAACCAGTGACGGGGCTTTCAGTGTCCTCACTCGTGAAATGAAAGAATCCATGTGGACTAGAGATTCTTCATCCTGGCTGGATGTTAGAATCACCTTAGGGAGGGTGTTTAAACTACTGGTGGCAGCATCATTCCTAGAAATTCTGGTTTGTCTCTGGGACCCAGGCATCAGCATTTTTAAGAGGTCCCCAGGTGATCTGCACATGTAGCCAGGCAGATGACCACTGGTTCAAAAGTTTTTGCCACGAATCTTCTATTGCTTACATTTTAAGGATCTATGATATCAAGGCTGAAAATACATCTTAGACCTTTTGCAAAAGTGGATACTTTCTTCTTTTTTTTTTTTTTTTTTTGGAGAGGTTTTTGCTATAGGGCCCATGCGCTTGCCAGAAAGATAGAGAGAGACAAAGAGACAAAAAGCGAGAAATCACCCCCCAAGGGGGTGGTCACGCCGCAATCCCTTCTTCTCCATTCTCCCCTTGGGATCCTGGGCACACACGCCTGGCATAAGTTTAAGCCATCAGGTTCAGGACTCAAACCACAGTCGGCTACATGGGAGTCCAGCGACATAGTCATTATGCCAACTGCTGGTCCCGCAAAAGTGGATTCTTAATCTTTACCTTTAAGTCAGAGATTCCTAGCTTTGAAGGAGTCTAAGAATCCACTTAATTCTTATGCAAACTATTAGATAAATACATAGATTCATAGATATATGTAGATTTTCAAGAGAGAATGTCCTCAGCTTTTACCATATTCTCAAAGAATTTAGATTACAGTCTTAGAAGTGAATATGACAGGATACACTTAATTATGGAATGAATAGAAAAATCTCAGCAGCATCTTTGCTGTAATTTTGGACTTGGAGCCCACCTACTGCCACCTAACAATTGTATATCTTTATTGCAGGTTTAGCTCAGATCATATAGTCCACTCTTTAGAAAATTGTAGAGTGATGGGGCCAGCAGTTAATGTAATGGCTATGTCACTGGACTCCCACGTAGTAGACTGCGGTTCACGACCCGGACCCGGTGGCTTAAAACTTACGCCAGGCGCGTGTGCGTGCGTGCCCAAGATCCCGAGAGGAGAATGGAGGAGAAGGGATTGTGGTGTGGCCATCCCTCCCGGGGGGGGGGGGGGGATTTCTCGCTTTCTGTCTCTCTGCCTCTCTCTGTCTGTCTGGTGAGCACACACACCCTATGGCAAAAACCTCTCAAAAAAAAAAAGAAAAAAGAAAGAAAATCGTAGGGCGATGAATATGAAGATTTCAGATTCAAACATCAAAATAGAAGCCAAGGCTGGGACTAGCATTTGACTGCTTGGTAATGCTCACAAGGACATAAGACCTTCCAAGTTGTACTTGGGAAAAGACTATGCATTCTGATAGTTTGGATTCATGTCCCCAACTGGGTAAGACTATTACAACTTACTAGTCTTCTCTGCAAACCATCTGCTTTGGATCTTGGTTTTCTCTCTTACTATCCGTGTAACACTGGGAAAAGTATAGAATTCCTCATATAGAATGGGGACAATGTAAGTACTTCCAAGATTGCCATGAAGAATAAGAAAGTACTCAGCATGATGCCTGATGCAGAGCAAAACCCTCCAAATATTTAGATAATACAGGTTGAGTATCTCTTATCCCAAATGCTCAAGAGCAGGAGAGTATGGGATTTCAGATTTTTTTTTTTTAATTTTGGAATATTTGCATGTGAAATGTCTTGGAAATGGGGCCCAAATCTAAATATGAAATTCATTCATGTTTCATATGCACCAAATACACATTCACCTGAAGGTAATATTTTTACAGTATTTTTGTCTTGCAGCATTTTGATTGTGACTCATCACATAAGGTCAGGTGTGGAATTCTGCACTTATGCCGTCAAGGCAATATTTGAAAAGTTTGGGATTTGGGGAAGACTTTGGATTTTTTATTAGGTTAGGGATGCTCAACCTATATTACAGTCATTACTGACTGTCTTATCAGTATTCATACATTTTAGTGACCTTGTTCAAGGTATTAAATTTCCTAGAGCTTCATGTATTGATCCACAAGACAAGAAAAATAAGCCCAGCCTGGTCTCTTTCAGATGGTTATGGCAATGATCAAAAAAAAGGAAGGAAGTGTACTGTGATTGCAGGGCAACTCATCATATATCTAGGAATTCTATAGAGTCCAGGAAAGAGTCACCCCAAGACAAAGTTCCAATGATCCAGTCATGCCCAGCCCAGCCCAGCCCAGCCCTCAGGAAGTGCTCTTTGAGGTTCCAATAGCTGAACAGCTCCACGGCCGGGTGCAGCAGCTTCCTGTCCACAGCTAGCATTCTAGGCCGCTCAGATCTCCCCACAACATGGGGGAATGAGTGACCATACTCCACATATCTGCTGCAAACTCCCCTTTAAGTAAGATAAGGACACCAGTCTCTCAGTACATCATCAGCCCACATCCAGCCCTGGTAGACTAGCAGGAGCCCCTCCCAGTCTGAACCATTCCTGGGAGACAGTCCCCAAATTCTCACAAGCCTGCCTGTCCATCAGAGTCGCTCTCCACGCAGAGCTGCCCCATCTGCCCCAGCAGAGCAGAAATATCACCAAAGTCTCTCACCAGCCACAGCCGAGATTCAAAGGGGATCAGCTCTAGATAATACAGGTTGAGTATCTCTTATCCCAAATGCTCAAGAGCAGGAGAGTATGGGATTTCAGATTTTTTTTTTTTAATTTTGGAATATTTGCATGTGAAATGTCTTGGAAATGGGGCCCAAATCTAAATATGAAATTCATTCATGTTTCATATGCACCAAATACACATTCACCTGAAGGTAATATTTTTACAGTATTTTTGTCTTGCAGCATTTTGATTGTGACTCATCACATAAGGTCAGGTGTGGAATTCTGCACTTATGCCGTCAAGGCAATATTTGAAAAGTTTGGGATTTGGGGAAGACTTTGGATTTTTTATTAGGTTAGGGATGCTCAACCTATATTACAGTCATTACTGACTGTCTTATCAGTATTCATACATTTTAGTGACCTTGTTCAAGGTATTAAATTTCCTAGAGCTTCATGTATTGATCCACAAGACAAGAAAAATAAGCCCAGCCTGGTCTCTTTCAGATGGTTATGGCAATGATCAAAAAAAAGGAAGGAAGTGTACTGTGATTGCAGGGCAACTCATCATATATCTAGGAATTCTATAGAGTCCAGGAAAGAGTCACCCCAAGACAAAGTTCCAATGATCCAGTCATGCCCAGCCCAGCCCAGCCCAGCCCTCAGGAAGTGCTCTTTGAGGTTCCAATAGCTGAACAGCTCCACGGCCGGGTGCAGCAGCTTCCTGTCCACAGCTAGCATTCTAGGCCGCTCAGATCTCCCCACAACATGGGGGAATGAGTGACCATACTCCACATATCTGCTGCAAACTCCCCTTTAAGTAAGATAAGGACACCAGTCTCTCAGTACATCATCAGCCCACATCCAGCCCTGGTAGACTAGCAGGAGCCCCTCCCAGTCTGAACCATTCCTGGGAGACAGTCCCCAAATTCTCACAAGCCTGCCTGTCCATCAGAGTCGCTCTCCACGCAGAGCTGCCCCATCTGCCCCAGCAGAGCAGAAATATCACCAAAGTCTCTCACCAGCCACAGCCGAGATTCAAAGGGGATCAGCTCTCACTTACCTGGAGTCTGCTTGGCCGTACGCACAGGGGTGTAGTGGTTTTTGGAGGACGATCTGACCGGCGTGTTCTCTTTGGGAGAGGTATCGATAGCCGAGATAGTTTCTCTTTCACAGTGTGCTATGGGAATTGGTCCCTGTTGTCTTAAGATGTCAGCCAGAGCCCTAAACGAGGAGGAGATCACACAGTGAGATTCACTGAACAGGTATGCACAACCACGAAGGGAGCTTACTTTTCTGGGGCTTTGATTTACAGAGCTATAGGAGGAGACGGAGAAACAGCACTTCATACTCAAAAGTCACAGCTTCATCTGATCTGGATTCAGTGGGGACACGGGGTAGAGGTTGCCATGCCTGGGGGTATAGACACTAAAAGGCTGTGATTAAAGTTTTCTTAATTCATTCCACATCAATAAATTTTGAGCCCTTTCAAAATCCTGGCTTTCCAAATGCCCATCTAGGCCAGGCAGATAGCTGGAGCAGCTGGCTAGCAGAAGGCCACTACAGAGAAGGGCTGCCTCCGCTGGCCTTCAATTCAGCAGCAGGTTATAATACCAGGGCAAGCGACCTCCCCATTCTAAAACACACGCCAGACCAGGCAGTGGTGCAGCAGCAATGGCACTGGGCCCACATGGGCAAGTTCTGGGGTCCCGTCCCTGGTCCTCTTTGAGCATGCTGAGTGTGGGCCTGTGATCTGAACTTTTTTTTAGATCACGGCATGGGGAGGTCTGTCTCTCTGTCTAGGTCAGTCTTTCTTATGAAAGTAATAAACTTTCAAAAAAGTACAAAGCTTTACACACACACACACACACACACACACACGCACACACCCAAAGTGGCATGTACTAGATACCAAAGACCCAAATACACCATGCAGTTCCTGCCATCAAAGAAGGTGTGATTCAGCTGCAGAGACAGGATGTACAGATAAAAATATACAAGTCGGAACACACGATGAGCACAACTGGGGTTGAGAGGAGGGAGCAACTACAAACAGAGGAAATGCACAGGAAGAAAGACACACAGAAGCTCTGCCGCGGTCACAGAGACACATCTTCCCACAAGGACCCAGTATTCAGAGAAAGCAGCCTTTGTAGCCAGCACCAACTATGCACTTCCTGAGGACTCGGCAAGTGCCAGTCACTTAGGGACAGAGAGGGACAGGACCCAGTTGCTGCTATCGAGAGTTCACAATTTTGGGAGACTCGCTTCCCTACCTGATTTTTTTTTTTTTTTAATTTGTCAGAAAGTGGGAGCATTTGCCAGAAATAGACAGAGAGAGGGAGAGAAGCAAAAAGCAACCCTCTTGAGGCATGGTCATGACACAATCCCTCCTCCATTTCTCTAACCTGCTGGGATTTGGGTCACGCACACATACGCACTTGACATGTTTTTCAAGCTGCCAGGTTCAGAACTCAAACCATGTAGTCAGCCACGTGGGATCTCTTAACCACTAGGCCATGGGGCCGCCTCCCAATCTGGTTTCAAGCAGGAACTCTTTCCATGGGTGTGAAAAGTGAGATGCCCACTGGGAATGGAAGACAGAAGCACATGGGGATGCTCTGAGAAGGCATGGATGAATGTGGACAGGCCACAGAAGCCCATGCCTGAATGCTGACATTTCAGATCAGGTTCCCGGTTCTGAAAGTGCTCCTGTTTTGTACAAGAGAGGCAAGGACTCGTCTATCAGCTCAGGGTGATCCTGAGAGGTGAGTGGGTACCATGCGACACCTCCAGGACTCTCTCAGCCACCCCTGACCACCACGGAGCCAGCCATGCCCAGCCCACACCAGGGCTCCCTCTGTACCCGAGTCCAGCTCTGGCACTATGCCACCATGGAAAGTGGCAGTTTAAACACACGTCTGAGAGTGAATTGTTTCATTACGCCGCCCCTGACACGCTGAACCTTCCTAGCAGAAGAGCATCAAGCTGGCAATCTTATCATTTAGTGGCATTTATACAGTAATTTCAGATTTTCCAAATGCTTTCCCCTCACTGGCTTTCATCTCTCAGCTTTGAAGGAAAGAGCAGATGTACACCACCATCCCCACTCACTTCTGTGGAACAAGCAGAACCTCGGCGTGGAACCTCGCCGCTCTAGGAGAGGGAGTCTGGGCAGGCCTGCATCTAGGAGAGGGAGTCTGGGCAGGCCTGGCATTCAGGGAGCGAGGAAACAAAATTGTCCTAGAAAGCCGATCTGAGTCCAAACTCCAGCTCTGCACTAAGTAGCTATGAAATTTTACACAGAAATTGATTAAATTGAAATTTAATCTTTTCTACTCCATCCACAAAACAAAGGCTTTAAGTTAGTATGACCGCTAAGATCCCTTCTAATTCCATAATTTGATAACTTTGTATTTTATGTGCTTTTTTAAGCTACCCATTCATGCACACATTCAGGTTGCTTTAGTTCCTTCATCCCTGTGATTATCAAAGACACCTTACTGTCAGATCTTTCTACGACAAGAAAATGGGGGAACCAGCAGTTAGCGTAATGGCTATGTCGCTGGACTCCCACGTAGTCGACCGCAGTTCGTGTCTCGGACCTGGTGGCTTAAATCTCACGCCGGGCGCGTGTGCGTGCGTGCCCAAGATCCCGAGAGGAGAATGGAGGAGAAGGGATTGCGGCGTGAGCATCCCCCCTGGGGGGTGATTTCTCGCTTTCTGTCTCTATGTCTCTGTCTGTCTGGCGAGTGCACGCCCCCTATAGCGAAAACCTCTCCAAAAAAAAAAAAAATGGTGCATTAGAAGTAGCAATAGATATCAATAGACATACAGAGCAAGTTAACAGAATTGAGAGTCCAGAAATAAATGTATAAATCTGCATTGACTGATTCCTCTTTTTCTTTTTCTTTTTTTTTTTTTGGAAGGGGAGTTTTTTTTGTCCAGGGGCCACTGGACT